ATTTATGAAAAAAACAAACTACATAGAGCTTACTGGCTCTAACATTCATTTCAGTAGAAGAATCCAAGGTATAGTAGAGAATTTGTACTCTTTTTTTTTTTTTGGAGTTTAAACATTTGTGACTATTTATTTTCTTCTCCCCACTACCTTCAGTGTAGTCTTAATTTTCATGATGATCGTTGTTACCATGGCTGCAAAGAATGGAGTCCATCTTACATTGTTATTGCTAGAGTTTTAAAACCACTCAATAGTCAAATAAAGGACTGCATAAGAAGAAAAAAGGAATCCTACTTATAATTTCTATTCAACCCTCCCAATTCCATGACTCATGGGTTTACTGCTGATTTACACTTCCAGAGAATAACAGAGCACACAGTAAGTTAAACAGACGTGAGGAAATGGAGAGTATAATGGAAGCAAATTAATGAAAATCAATAGTTTCGAAGACTAAACTGCACTGATAATAAAGCTCATGGGGTTTACACAATTAGACTGATTTCACTGTTTCATATAAGAAAATTAGACAACATTTTCAATGCAGTGTTCTTTCAAGTGTGTTGTTTAAAGGATTACCTTCCTAGTTTAATCAAACTTGTAATAAATAATAATGAATAATTATTAATTATATTGCAGGCACACCAGCAAGGGAGAAAATGTGCCTTGATTAGGACTTCTAAAGTCCCCTCTCAATCCCTCATGCAGAGTAGAGAGGCAAAGCAAGCTCTACATCACACACCAAGCTTTACCTCATAACCTAACAGAGGCAGACAATCAGTTTGGACAATGTCTGTGCAACATTAGATGTGGAATTCTTCTCATCTAGTTTTAGACATCAAGTGCCAATTAGCCATTCCAGGCTTCCCTCGTAATCAGTGAAAAGAAGAACTACCCCTCCAGAAGACACTTCAGGAGGTCCCAGACATGTCTTAGATCCACCAAAGGACTGCCTGCATTATTTCATTTCTCCCCACCGTCTATAGAGGCAGCCTAATGTCACTCACTCACTCTTGAGACCAACTATTCCTTGGCATCTCAGGTTAGACATCTAACAACATTTCTCTTCCCTTTCTTTCCTCAAGGAACGTCAGCTAAGGCTCCATAGCCTCAGCTTCTCCGTGCTTCTGAAGGAAAGCCAAGTTCTAGAGGTGGAGCTAAACAGAAGCATCATCAACTTCAGTGACTTCCAGAGAAGGCAGAGCAAATACACAAGGAAATAAAAGACTGTTACTTAAAAAACAAGAAAAAAAAAGGAGGAAAAAAAGATTCCTCATCAGTCTCAGTTACTTTCTGTTGTAACACCTTTTTTGTAAGGCAGAGTAAATAATCCAAGTTGTAGCCACAATGCATAGCAGTAACTCCCCTGTTAAATATATGGGGGACTATGCTACTGATGCAAAAACTACCATGTGAACCTAACTGCATCTTCATGGGAAAAGTATCGAGGCTCTAATTGTACTAGTTATTTGCAATGCTGAGCTGAAAACTACGCTAATAATAATTTAGTTTAAAAATGCATCAGCTGCATGCCATTCTCAATAACCTTACTATCCAGACAGCAACTTCTGTAAAAGTGAAAGCTGTACATTAGTATGAAAAACTAATAGCCTGGCTCTGTAAACAGGTATTTCTGCAGAACTTCTCACATCCTGAAAATTAAAACATATGAAAATATTGGAAGAAATGAAGTCTAAAGTTGTTACCTTGTTTTTAAAGTGATGCCATTCAAAAGAATAACTTTGATTCTTAACAAATAAGACAGTTCTACAACTTCACAATAGCATCCAATATATTGACAACAAACAGCTTTTCATGCTGAAGTACTGAAGCTGGGAAAAGAGCACGGGACACTTCATACCATTAAGTCACACAGAGGTAAAGGTCTAGTGACATGAAAATTAGAACTGGCACTTGAGCCTAAAAAAGTTCAAGTCGCTGGGGCACAGTAGCAATTTCTGTCCCGTGTTCTCTTGGGACCTGAGGCTGCAAAACACCAGCATCAGAAACAGGAATAACTGACAAAGTCTCTTCAAAACCCTGATAAGACTTCAGAAGTAAAACACTGCCTGTGAAAGACAAAGAACCCAGGGAGAGGTGAGGTAGTGCTTCACGCACCTTTTAAGACCCTTAGGACCTCATCCACTCCCTCCTTTTACCACCTAGCCCTTTCCCCCATGAATTCTCATTATAGCTTCTCCATTAACTCTTCTCTGCACTAAACGGTAGGACTTCATCTAACTTATAGCAAAATAGCAAAGAAAATGCCTCCAAGAACCATTAATTTAATTTTTACTTGTTACACTATTACCAGCCCTATAAGAAGCAAATCTTCAGAATGCAGAGATTTATATTCTAAATCACTTATTCCCTCTGATGTAAGAGGAAGGCTACATATATAGATTATATACGGATTATATTATTAACACCCTGCTAGGAGGAGAAACAAACAAACAAATCTGAAATATACTTAACGTCATCCCCACTGCATCAAATATATAGCACAAGAAAGCAAACCTTGGTACAAAATTCATAATGTGGTTTGTCCCACTGCCCTCCTAGCCACAAAGAAAATTCATTGTCAGATATTTGACCAATTTAGCCTAATTTTCTGACTTCATAGCTGAAAGGGAGAAAAGTTGAGCTATTCATGGAAGTCTAATGCCTCAAATACATTCAGAAGCTTTAAAGGATGACTTAAAAATAATCACTGTGCTTCACGTTACTCTTATGCTAGTTTCTTGCCCATTTTAGGCATACAGTCTCTTCATTCTCAATTCTCCGTTCAGACATTAAAAAAAAAGATTTAGATACATGCTGCAATATTACAGTCCTCCAGCAAAGTATTTCAGGCTTGATTCCAACTCTACCAGAAGCACAGACATTCAGAGCAGAGACAATCGGTACTTCAGGGTTATCTGATTCATTTTACAGCTCCTTGAAAAACTGAAGTCAAGCTACATGATTATAAAGAAAAAACAAAGGGAAAAATGAAAAGGGATCTGCCCAGCACAGAATATAATACAAAAAGGAACAAGTATTGGAACTATGCACTGAATAATTATTCACAGCACCTTCCTCACTTACACAGAGATAAATCAAGAAGTGCAATCTGACACTAACCGAATCATTCATTAACTAAAAAAAAAAAAAAAAAAAATTAAGAAAATACGATTCAGCTATAATGGTGAAATGTCACTATACGTCCTTCTTCAATCAAAATAATTACTAATTATCCACCAAATAACCACTGTGACCTACTTTGTAATTCAACTCAAAGTTTTAAATTTACTTAATATAATCATGTTTTTGTTTAAAAGTACTGAAGCCACTACTCCAATTTTACTGCCCATTTTTAATCTTTGCAATTCAATTTAACGCTCAGTTATTTACCCACTAATATTCCTCAAGAGAGGGGAAAAGACGACTTCAGTGGCAGATTACCTATTTTCAGACATTTCTACAAATATTACTCTTCCCCCTCCCCTTCCTAGTTTACATTACAAGTTTACTGAATATTCCTTAAAGCTGTACAGTTTGTCCTTGAAGACATTCATAGCATTTCTCTTCCATTAGCACACAAATACATACACTTTATGTCTAGCTAAACATTTTTCACAAAATTGTACAAAATACCTAAACAGTATTCTGCAAGTACAGTGCCAGTCCACAGCCACCAACAACAAATTAAAATTGTCCTGACTGGAGTAAAGCCAAATGTGACTAGCTTTGCGGTATGGGAGAGCCTTCAATGTTCACATCAAATAATCTTGGAATTGTTCAACAACAATAGTAATCAACTCTACTGTCTTGATGAATAGGCCCTGTGAAAATGAGTCCACCTACCTCATGGACTGTATGTGTTTTTAAGTGACAAGACACAAAACACAATGTGTGAGTCGCCCTACTGAAAATTTAAAGTTTGCAGACTCATAAAACTAAGATGGATGATAAAATAAGTTACCTGGGTAACTATGTAACAAAAAAAAAAAAACAAACAAGTTTTTTCCTAAATATTTTCCAGATGTTGAAGTCACAATCATTAAATTCAGCTCATAACTCCCTACTACAAATGTTCAAAATCTATCATCCAAATAAAGACAGAATCTAATATTAGCCTGATTTAATGGCATACAAATCAGAAAAAAAAAAACAAAACAAAACCTACTGAATCACCAAGAGCTATCTCGTATCGAGAGAAATCAACCATCTGACAATTTTTCCATTTTGAAACCAGAAAAGTCCTCTTGCACAACCCAGGAAAAGTGCAATACGAGGTAACATGCAGAGAGGCAGCACGCACACAAAATTTATAAGTTTTCCACTGTCCTCAGATCATCCAAAGACCATTAACACTGCAATTTTTTGCTAGTACAAGGTTCCTCGCAGAGAGCCTGGCACACATCGCCTCCTGACTTTCAGCCTGCACACACAGCAAGCGACCAGCACGCCACGCGAAGCGGAGAACCGGTCTACCTGCCAATAAGAAGGGAAAAGAGTTTAAAGGGCTCACGGACACTTCAAACTCCTCTAGCTGCACCACTCGGCAGCTGCAGCGATCCATTAGATTCTGCGGCGGCACTCTCCCCGTGCAGAAGAGCGCAGCGTTTTGTTAAAAGCAAGTTTCCAAAGGCCAAATAGAGAGGGGAAACTTGCCCTAACACAAGTTTCTCCCGCGCTAAGCCCTGTAGGAAAGGCAGCCACGTACGCGCTGCCCGGCATCAAGCACAAATCTGGGGCGAAGCTGAACGCACGACAGGTAACACACCGGGAGAGGCACAGCCCCAACTTCAACCTCCTCGGGCAGATAAGCCCCCTTTATTCACACACACAGTGTATATTTCTTAATAACGACGGCAGCGGACGATTCTTGCCAAATTGCCGGACCCGTTACAGGGTCGGGAAAGGTGGGATCGGGTGGAAATGAAGCCCCGCAGGGGAGACCTTCCAGCACGGGTGGGTAGGCGTCCTCCCCTACCCCTCACCCCCCGTCCCCGGGCACTGACCTGAGGGTGCGGTTGCCGGCGCAGCCCCGGCGCTCCATGGCGGCGGGCACGCAGCTGGTGAGCTCGGTCCAGTCGGCGTGCAGCCCGCAGCTCCAGCCGGTGGAGAAGCGGGAGAAGAGCCAGGTGTCCTTATCGCCGCCCGGGCGGTGACAGGCGCACTTCTTCTGCCCGGCCCGGCAGTAGCAGGGCTGCTCCAGGCGGATGTTGCGCCTTATAATCTCCTTATTTTTGCTTGGGGAGGGCCGGGTGTGGTGTGGATCTCGTAGCGTTTGCGGTTTCAAGCCTGTGTTTGTAACCCCAGAGTGTCGGTCTTATATATATTATATATATATTATTATATAATATAATATATATTATTATATAATATATATAACTACACGGACGCCGCTGACTGCGGCACGGGTCAACGACCCTTGCGGTTTGAGGAATCCCGATCCCAGGGAGGGGAATGAGGGAAAAAACCAAGGAAACCTAAGGGGTTTCATAAATCTCTCCATCTCTTCCTCTCCTTTTTTAGAGGGGGGGAGGGAGAAGCCATCTGTCATTCTGATTGGTCAATCCGGTCAAAACCACGACAGGATTTAATAGAATAACACTAGATAATTAACATTAATAACACTACAGAACCAATATTGATCCCAGTACCGATATAAAACACACAAGAATTATACTCAGCCCGTGCTGTCAGCAGGGGACAGCAAATCATAGGATCATCTAGGTTGGAAGGAACCTTCAAGATCACCTAGTCCAACCATCAACCTAACTCTGACAAAAAAAACAAACCCACATCACTGAACCATGTCCCCCAGCACCATGTCAACACGTCTTTCGAACACCTCCAGGGATGGTGCCTCAACCACTTCCCTGGGCAGCCCATTCCAATGCTTGATAACCCTTCCAGTGTAAAAATTTTTCCTAATATCCAACCTGAGCCTCCCCTGGCGCAACTTGAGGCCATTTTCCCTGGTCCTGTTGACCGTGACTTGGGAGGAGAGACCAACCCCCACCTCTCTACACCCTCCTTTCAGGTAGTTGTAGAGCGCGATAAGGTCTCCCCTCAGCCTCCTTTTCTCCAGGCTGAAATGGCAACCCCCCCCCGCCGGCACAGCTCCCCACGCGCGAAGGGGAACTTGGCCACCAGCCGCGGCAGCGCTGCCACCGCCGCCGCCGCTGCCTCTTCCTCCTCCTCCTCCTCCTCCTGCGCGGCGCCCGCCACCTCCTCCTCCTCCTCCCGCTCCGCCGGGCCCTCCCCGCGGCGGGCGGCGGAGGCCGGCGGGCGGCGGGAGCAGGCGGCGCCGGGGCAGGCGGGCGACACGTACTGGTAGACGATGAGGAGGAAGAGCAGGGCCAGCAGCGGCGGCAGCAGCCACCTGTTGGAGCGCTCGTCCATGGCGATGCGCGGGGGCAGCGCGGCCCCGAGGCTCAGGCGCTGCTGGCGGCTGGCGGGGCGGTCGCCCCCCTCGGATCCCGCAGCCGAGGGGCACCCGGCTCCCTTCCCGACGGCATGGTTCCCCCTCTAGGCGGCGGCGGCGGCTGGCTCCGTCCCGCTCCGCTCAGCGCCCGCCCGAGGCCGCCATCCCGCTCGCCGCAGCTGAGGAGAAGCGCCTCGCGCCCTCCCCGACACGCACGGCCGGCAGCTCACGAGTCCGCCGCTCCGCCGGCAACTCTCCAGCCCAAACACACCGCTCGGCCCCCGGCGGGGAGGGGCGGGGCGGACTCCGCCCGCTAGCCAATGGGAGCAAAGCCGGCCGGCCCAGCAGCCAATAGGCGGGCCTAGCACGCCGGCCCCTGTCGCCAATGGGAGCGGGCGGTGAGTGAACGGGGGAGCGGGTTGGGCGGGAGTCGCTCCTCGCTCCCCTCCAGGTACCGGCCGGAGACCGATAGGGCTGGGGGGAGAGGAGGGAGGCAGCGGGCAGCCAATGAGGCGCCGGGGGCGGAGCGGAGGGCAGCCAATGAGAGTGACACGGAGGGGGGGTGCCGCGCCAGGTGAGCGGGGGTCGGGCGGGAAGCGGCGCGAGTCCGGCGTCGCGCGGCGCCGGGCGGGTGTCGGCACGCGTCCGCTGACGCTGGCGGCGAGGCCAGACGGAAATAAATAGCTTTAAAAAAAAACCCCCAAACTACTTATAATCTCCTTATTTTTGCTTGGGGAGGGCCGGGTGTGGTGTGGATCTCGTAGCGTTTGCGGTTTCAAGCCTGTGTTTGTAACCCCAGAGTGTCGGTCTTATATATATTATATATATATTATTATATAATATAATATATATTATTATATAATATATATAACTACACGGACGCCGCTGACTGCGGCACGGGTCAACGACCCTTGCGGTTTGAGGAATCCCGATCCCAGGGAGGGGAATGAGGGAAAAAACCAAGGAAACCTAAGGGGTTTCATAAATCTCTCCATCTCTTCCTCTCCTTTTTTAGAGGGGGGGAGGGAGAAGCCATCTGTCATTCTGATTGGTCAATCCGGTCAAAACCACGACAGGATTTAATAGAATAACACTAGATAATTAACATTAATAACACTACAGAACCAATATTGATCCCAGTACCGATATAAAACACACAAGAATTATACTCAGCCCGTGCTGTCAGCAGGGGACAGCAAATCATAGGATCATCTAGGTTGGAAGGAACCTTCAAGATCACCTAGTCCAACCATCAACCTAACTCTGACAAAAAAAACAAACCCACATCACTGAACCATGTCCCCCAGCACCATGTCAACACGTCTTTCGAACACCTCCAGGGATGGTGCCTCAACCACTTCCCTGGGCAGCCCATTCCAATGCTTGATAACCCTTCCAGTGTAAAAATTTTTCCTAATATCCAACCTGAGCCTCCCCTGGCGCAACTTGAGGCCATTTTCCCTGGTCCTGTTGACCGTGACTTGGGAGGAGAGACCAACCCCCACCTCTCTACACCCTCCTTTCAGGTAGTTGTAGAGCGCGATATTAAACACCAATACAGGTCATATGATGAGACTGTCCACAACTGATCCATCTTGTCATCAGAACAGGAACATGGTAAGATGGCTTTTACTAACGTCTCCAAACTAAACATGGAAACTTCTAAAACCAGAAAGAAGCAGGCCTGGGACACACACACACACTCTCCCCCCAACAAAACAAACAAACAAAAAAAACAACAAAAAAACCCCAACCCCCAAAAAACCCAAACAAAACCCCAAACAAAAAACAAACAAACAAAAAACCACCCCAAACATCACTGAACCATGTTCCCCAGCACCATGTCAACTCATCTTTTGAACACCTCCAGGGATGGTGCCTCAACCACTTCCCTGGGCAGCCCATTCCAATACTTGATAACCCTTTCAGTGTAAAAATTTTTCCTAATATCCAACCTGAGCCTCCCCTGGCGCAACTTGAGGCCATTTTCCCTGGTCCTGTTGACCGTGACTTGGGAGGAGAGACCAACCCCCACCTCTCTACACCCTCCTTTCAGGTAGTTGTAGAGCGCGATAAGGTCTCCCCTCAGCCTCCTTTTCTCCAGGCTGAACAACCCCAGCTCCCTCAGCCTCTCCTCATAAGACTTGTGCTCCAGATCCCTCACCAGAATGTCAGACACTGCAAGTGCTACAGCTTTGGGAGAAAGGGAAGGACTTGGGGGTCCAGCACCAGGGCAAGAAGATCACAGCCATCACAGAAGCGGAGAAACTCCTCAGCAAACTTTCTAATTTATATTGAATGTGATGTTCATGGTATGAAACGATCCTGTTGGCAGCTTGGGTCAAGTGCCCTGGTCCCTGCACTTCGGTAACTGGAAAACAATGAGACCTTGAGTTCCACATAGCCTAGCTGGCTATAAAGTAAATATTTTCACAAAGTCAGCCACTAGAATCTTCTAAAAGTGCAGTTTTTCCCTAGTATTAGAAGAGACCTTACTGAAAAGTAAGATTACTGAAAGATAAATTAATCGTGTGTCATTCAAACCAGCACAACTGCCTAATGGTAGATTAAGCGATCTGCAGTGCTGTTGGCTCCTGAGATTATTTGAAGCCTTTGGAGACCAAAATCCCAAACGCTAGAAAGTTTTCTGAGGAAAACTTGCTCTCCCCGAGGCAGCAACATCTATTCCCCATCAGCTACTTTAGCAAAGTTTCAGGAGTTAACTCTTCAAGCCCCTTCACATATTTAAAAAATCTCTCAGATTGCAACTGTATTGTTTCATCCATTAAAAAAAAAAGAATAATAACAAAGAATTTTTAATAGATATTCAAATGTCTAGCTTCCAGGTCCCATCTAGCTGAGCAGTGCTTTGTCAAACATTCTTTGGTCTGCAATGAGTTCTCCATCTCTTCTAAAAGTCTGTCACAAACGCTTCATATCCAAATACAAGCCTCGTACAAGCTGCTGGATTATAATATATTAATATGCAAAGCATCTCATGTTAGAACTGATTGCACATCGTGGTTATTTAATTACAGAATGTCTTTATTTACTGAGGGATTAATTAGATACCTGACAGCGCTAAAGCAACTTTCTTGCTCAACTCTAAAGACAACTTCACCTCTGCAAGGCTGATAGCAGAAGAGTAGTGCCTTCCCATGGGCTGTTTAACTTTAAAACTTAAAAAAACCAAAAAAGTTGTAGCAATGTATTTAAAGCTGAAGCTTTTTATATAGAAAGGAAGTATTTGGACTCTTTGAACAGAGCATCAGCTCCCATTAAATCTTTCCAGAAAGAATAGAAATTGTCAGAAGAGGGTCTGAACAAAAGCAGTTAAAACTCTGTAAACATTGTGAGATGTTCCAAAAGCTGCTGCCACGAGAACAACGGTGTGCACCATCTGACTTCAAACACACAAACATCCCCCGCACGCATACACATCCCCAGCGACGCAAAGGGGCTGTTAAGGCAAAAGTCTAAGAGTAGCAAATTCTCGGGTCTTGCCAAGACATCAAGAGAGATGCACTTTTAGCTTTAGGGAAATTTTGTAAGGAGAACACCAAGGGTTACCGGGTGAAATTCATCCTTGTATACAGCATCACGCACCATGGTACTGAAAGCCTGGTCCCTCTGTCTTCTGGCAGAAGAAAATGCAGAGTCTGGTGTCACACAAACCTGTTCATTCTTCTTCCCATAATGACAAGAGGTGTGCACCCACTCACTCTAACAAAAGTGGAAAACGGCTCTTTTGTCTTGGAAAAATCACCGTGTTCTTTGCTAGCAAGAGAAGCAGAGCGTCTACCTTTTCTCTTGAGTTTGACCATTACTGCACACACCTGCTTTCAAACTCCCCGTGTCTCCCGAAAGTGGACTTAATGAGGTTGCCTTTTAACCTCTCTCTTTCACCAGGTGACAGGAAGCCTGTCTCAGAGAAATGTAAATATTTATACATTTAAGATATAGAAGCATCTTATTCTCACCTCAGCCTATTCATCACCTAACAAAAAACCAACAAAAAAAAAAGAGAAGCAACATGAATTATAGGCTCATTTCAGTAACAGAATAGCACTAGCAACGCTTGTGTGGGTAAATTCATATTTGGAATAAAAGCACAGATAAAGGATTTAGACTGAAGTGTCCCTCACAATGCTTTTAGTAAGATATAGAAATGCTATCATTTAAGATCTTCTCATTAAACATGAGATTGTTGACACTGTACATTCATCTGCATGAAAAGGAGATCAAAGCTGAATTTGCTGAACAGAGAAATTGTGAATTTCAGTTAAATTTAAAATTCTTATTTAATTAAACTTGCTCAAGACAGTTACTGATTCATCAAGAGTGGCAAAAAATATTTTTTACTGGGCAGAAAGGATGTACAAGAGAAGTAAAAATATTTGTAATGAGGTTTAGTTTAAAAACTTGACTTTTTAAAAAGCTCTCATTTTCCTGAAACTAGCAAAAAAAAGTATTTGCAGGCCCACATGAATCAATAGGTTTATGCAGCTTTCAAAGACAGGCTTTTACTAATGAATTTTAATATTCTTAATGACAGTTTGCAGATCGTGCTTTCTGTAGAGCTACAACCCACAGCACACCCAACCACCACCCAGTTCTTCCCAATGGCATGCAGGGTGTGTGGTTACACCCCACGTTATTCTGAAGGTGGCCCTAGTTTGCATAAGAGTTGGGGTCTCCAGAGTGAACCTGAATCCCACGATAGTCAGCAGAGGCTAATTATCCCTAGACAGAGAATGTAGCGTTTTCATTTGGAAGCGTTTTATGTTCTTTTTATAGAGGTCCCCGTTACTGTGCAAGGCCCAGTCAGATTCTGTAGAAGTCAATGGCTGTAACTCAGTAGCGTCAATGAAGCGATGATAAGGCTCATTTTGAACATGGTCGTCTTTCCATTGATTTAATGGGAACACGACTGGGTTCAAAATGAAGCCCTAAAAATTGCAAACGCTGTTCAATCCCA